AACTGGTGCAAACTGGCTGAATCCCACCACTGACAAGGACCTGTATTTTTATTTTTCTCTTTGGTTTTAACCGATTTGGGGATGATTCTCCTTCTTTGAGATGGGCAGCTGTAAAAATAGAATTAATCAATAAAAAATATATACAGGTCACCTACAAATTTCCAACTGTTCATTTTAGTGACCGTTTAAAGTTACAACCAGCTCTGGAAAAGGTGACAAAATAGATTGTGTCAGAAGAATAATTTGGGGTTTCTAACTCGGGGCTGCGCAAGAATAAATAAAAATGGATTTCATTAAATGGATAAGCAAATACTATTATTATGCGGTTCTTATTAATGTCATGAGTATTATTATTACTGTTATTACTTCTCAAAATTAACTGTACCCAGATAACACACAGTTTATGTAGATATTGCATTTTTATGTTTAATAATAATAAAGAAATAAACAAAAATAAATAAATAAGAATAAATAAAAATGAAATCCATTTGTGAGGAAAAAGGAAATATTTATTCCTTAAAAACAAGCGGATTGCCGTGAGGGGCAGCTGTACACAAACGGGATATAGCAGGCAGACTTTTTATAGGGCAGCTTGTCCAGTGTGTAGAAGTGTCTATGTGCAAATTGCGGGGTGACACTTGAAGTGTGTGTGTGTGTGTGTTTGTGGGTTTATTTTTTGTGCACATGCAGTTCCTCTGGGAGGCTCTTAATTTCGTTCATTCTGTTCGTGTTTGCAGACCTTATCCTTTGATATGGGGATTGGGCCTGGGGCAACTGATTTGGGGTTTTGAGGACGTCTGCTCGTTTTAGTGGATTAATTCGGCTGTCAATCATCTGGGGGAGATTCTGATTCTCAGGCTATTGTGGATTCTGCTTAATATTTTTAAGGGGAGATGGGATGAAGAATAAAATACATTCGAATACGAAGAGCTTCTCACCACGGAATCTTTTTTTTTTTAAACAGCGGTGCTGGCCACGCTTTGCAGTCAGTAATCGGAGCAGGGATATTGTCCTGTTAGGGATTAACTGTCCTGAGGGCTGATCCCAGGAGACAATCGGTAGCGGGTTCATTTCATGAGACCAAAATGGAAAGTGAGAGAAATCTTCAGGCCTTTCCACCTACCCTGCGCTCGGGCTCCCGACAGAGATAAAACTTTAGTTTTATACTGTATATATATATATCTCTCTATATATAAACAGCATATATGTGTGTGTGTGTGTGTGTGTGTGTGTGTGTGTGTGTATGTATTTTCTTAAGTTTTCGCCAGTACTTACATGTATGGCATTCAGCTTTGTTCGGATAATTTCCCACGTCATTGTAGTTGTGCTTTTAAAGTTGTAGCAACGTTTCGGCAGAATCTCATCTGCCATCATCAGGCTTCTGTACTGTGTTCCTCTGGACGAACACAATACAGAACACAATACAGACGAACACAATACAGAAGCCTGATGATTGCAGATGAGATTCTGTGGAAACGTTGCTACAGCTTTAAAAGCACAACTATAGTGACGTGGGAAAATACCCGAACAAAGCTGAATACTATATATATATATTTGTTTTCTGAGGTTTTCGCAGGTATTTGTATGTGCATCTTTGGTTATTCAGGTTTTTTCCCGCGTAAAATTGGAAGTATGTAGGCGACGTTTCGATGAAGTCACATTCATCATCTTCAGGCTTGTGTCTTCGGCTTTACTCCGAGAAGCACAAAGCCGAAGACACAAGCCTGAAGAAGATGAATGAGTATTTTCCCACGTCATTGTAGTTATGCTTTAGTACCCACGAAAACTTAAGAAAATATCTATCTATCTATCTATCTATCTATCTATCTATCTATCTATCTAT